CATAACATCATCACAGTGACATAAAAATTATAACTACAAAAGTACAAATACTATTAAAATATCTTGTAGGTAAATCACATAGGTCTTAGGCCAAAGCAAAATAAATATTTCATAAATATGGGTATTAAACGCTATTGAATATTTTAATATCGACATTATTTTATATTATGTAACGAGGGTTACCCAACGCCTGCAACGAAATTTTTATCACGATGGTTACAATAAAAAATAATCTTATAAGGGAGTTCCCTAGCCTAAAAGGTTAACGTCTTATATGTGCCTGGCACATTTCATTATGGACAAATTTGTTTCAACATGTTAAGTAAAAAATACGACTGATTCGATAAATAGACACAACAAAAGTCTAAAATTCAACAAAATAAAAAACAAGAAAAAAGGTACTAACTAAACATAATCCATACTTCCACAATATTGTAACTTTTAGTTACAAATTAATGTTATTTTCAATATAGGTGCACACTCAGGACCGCAAAAAAAGACGGAGCGCATTCATCATTGCATCAACACGCTCATGTGCATCGCACACATGTGCATAGATATTTGCAACGAACATGGTTTTAGGTGTAATGTTTGGTCATTTGAAATGCACCGAGTGCTCCGTCTTTCTTTCGTTTTTTGGTCTGAGAATGCACAATGCATTTATAATTAAGAATTTAGATTAACACTTTCACGGCTACATATAGGTGTAAACTACACATTTACCAAAATATTTAACGTTTACAACTTTGTAAAATACTAAGAATTATATTTCGAGTCATTTATTTATTGTCACATTATTCAGCTTTCAGCAGCCATATTTGCCTACATTTCTAATCCATAGTTACGTACTTCGTTTGATGTTACATAACAAGTATGTAAAATGTTCTTGATACATATTTTATTTATTACCAAGATTTTATAAAAGTCACTTTATTGTTTGTCTGTCGTTCCGGGTGGAATTTAGGAATTTATTTTAAACTAACTTTACGATGAGCTGGAATTTTAAAATTTTGAATGTAGCTCAATATCGGATGACATAACAAGAATATGATAAAAAAAGTTTTTCTAAAAAACATTTTTTTTATTGCTTTCTATTATGTTTTCTTGTTTCCGAATACCGGATTTCTTCAAAAAGGAAGTTCAATCTTTGCTGCTTTGCGATTTTATGACCAAGCAGCAGGATACTGTATTAAGGCGCCCCTGCGGCAGGCATGTCAGTAGGCGCCTTTATCCAACATTATTCTGCATTACATATTGTAAAAGATCATCACATCTGTAATTTAGTCGACGTTTCTATATTAAGATAAAAAACCGGTCAAGTGCGAGTCGGACTTGCGCACCGTGGGTTCCGAACAAATCTGTAGGTATATAAGTTTAAAATTATTAAAAATATTTTTATTATATGATGTAACTAAAAATTAATGCTTTTCGAAATTTTTCCTTTATCTGTGCTATAATACGTTGCTTCGTACCAAATTTTAAGATTCTGAGTTCACGGGAAGTACCCTGTAGGTTTTGATTCCCTTGCGAATGTCGAAAATTTGCGGCATAAACGGCTGTATCTTTTGATTGCGTTGGATTAGAAGTTTAATTTTATTACAGCTCCAAGGGACAGTAGACTTGAGTATTTGATATCAATTTCAGCTTGATACCTCCACGCGTTCCTGAGAAAAAGGGTCTTGACAGACAGACAGACAGACAGACGGACAACGAAGTGATCCTATAAGTGTTCCGTTTTTTCCTTTTGAGGTACGGAACCCTAAAAAGACAATTTTTTTATTTTTACAATTTATTTAAAGGAGATCGATTCTAGTACATGTTCTTGGTTAAGTTTTACATAATATAATTAGCGTGTCCTAGATCAAACACATTAAAATAATCACTGCAGTGTTAATCCGAGCTAACTGGACAACCTCTACCTACTTCTCTGGCATTGCATAATATACCTTATTTTAGGTATTTAGATTATATCAAGGTCATTTTACAGTAGTGCCTTATCTTTATTATGTCTATAAAATATTTTCTGAGTCTATGCCATGTGTTCCCTAACTTTTTGTTATTATCTAATAATAAATGTAGTAAAAAGCAATCCCATCGGAAACATAAATGTGAAAAGCTGAAAAGGGACGAAGTTGCAAAGGACGTTCGGGATTGTAACTTCACTTCGCCGATGAAAGAGTTGTAATCCGAACGGGTGCCAAATTATTCTAATAAGTAATTCCAAGAACACACATTAATATTTATATTTTTTTACATTAATATATATCCAATGATTTAAACTGTACCGAACTTGGTTCCATTTTAACTGTTTTCTTTTTGGTTTGGTTTTGAAAAAAAAAAGCGTTATACTTTTCTTAACCTAAATAAATACAACGTGGCCATTAACGATTTTTCTCAACTCTTTACAAGAATTCATTTTTAATCAATACCCGAATATCGATAATTTCTTGATTTTAGATTTTTTTTTGTATACTGTGATTTACGGTGATGCCTAATTTTAAGTTTCTAAGAAACTTCGCAGTGGCCTAGAAGTTTTTAATAAGTTAGTCAGTGAGTGATCAAAATCGCACCTTTCAGAGTTTAAACAGACCACCACATACCGCTTGAATACGTCTTTGTTTCCACGCATCCAGTTGCATTGTCGTTGAAGACTTCGCTAAAGATCCTCGCTCCGTGTATTAGGTACATCTTTAGCGAAATTGTATTATACATGTCAAATATTGTCTTTATTCCAGAATTCGAAAAAAAAAATGGTGAGCACATGCGAATGAAATTACCGACAGATTGCCGTACGACCAATAACTCGTTTGCTAACTCGAAAAGTTACGTTCGCATTTTTGGTTGTGGGATGTGGGAAGCTTAAGTTACATAAGCGATTTGGAGTTAGTGGTTTGTGCAGTAATTGCCTCTTCAGTGTCATCGAAGGCGATAATGACGAGACGGTCAAGGTCGAGGTCTTTTTCTTCAAAAAAAATGAATAATTCAATTTCCTCCTATGAGATTCATTTTGCCAAAATTTTTGTTTGAGGTACCTAATTGCTCAAGGTTTATCTCAAGGAGAATCTCATCATTGACGGTAGTTAAAGCTGGTATGATATTATGTCTATGCGGTTCTCTAATCGGATTCACATGTGCATGTGGACGAAATACAATAAATAGATATCACTAAGATGTTTAAGTTACATATAGTCAGTTTACTCAACCAGAGGGCTTAAACCATTGTTACCCCCCCCCCCCCTCCACCCCACCATCTCCAAGAGTATCACAAAACAGAGTTCTAAGTCACCTGCATCCAGTTATTCATTGCACATCTGATCAAATCATCACGCATAGTGAAGGGCTGCCCTTTACTGAGTTTGAGGGTAGTAGGTTCAACATGACTTTGTGGTCAAGGTCCGGCGACCGGTGCTATTATTCGTTTTCACAATCACAGAGGCGAGAACAGTCGTCGCTTAGTCGTCATAATAAAGTTCATATATAAAGTTCAATAATTCATTATTTGTTATTTTGATGAAAATTTAAAAACCACCTTAGTATTTTAAATATATCCATAAAGTTGTACATTGAGATAAAGACCTTAATTATTCGACGTGAACCATTAAAAGTTACTTTTTAAAAATGAATATACAGAGTTATTTTTGAATAAGTAGCCAAATTAACAACTTAAGTTCAAATATAGAAATAATGCTGTTATTGCAGTTTTTGAAAATACGAGTATGTAAATAAGGCTTCTACTTTTATTTGAAATTATCTCAAATTGTAAGTGATTTATGGGGTACAACGTTTTTCGTTTTCATTTTCCGATCAATCCTTACGAATGTGTGCGTGCATAATAAAATCAGTTAAAATAATTCATTACCACGCATTGTGAATTTAAAAGATAAAAAGGACAGAATGTCTGACATTTTTTTTTTAAATTAATTTGGCCGGTTATTTCAAAATAACCCTGCATATGATATCTTTATACTTCGTATATGTACCTAATTACGAACTTTTAAATAGTATTATTTTAAATGCAACACCAATGTAAATATTTTTTTTTATTTTTTTATACGAGTTAAGTCCGCTACACAACAGTACCCTATAAGTTTGAATATGTATTGTCATTTTTATACCTATGTCAAAATATTATTACAAATTCATAACAGGAATACACGAATATTTCTAAAAAATGTCATAAAGTCTCACCATACATGCAAATTTTTTTTAAATTTCCAACTACTAAGTCACTAATATATCATTGAGTTAATAATTTGGTTTCCTGTTCGGCGCAGAGATCATGAGGGTTGATCCTTCGGTTGTTCACAAGATGACCGCGAGTTGTCTTTCTGTAATTACACAGGGATATATATCTACAATTGTGGTTAAAATATCCATTAAACATCATATATTATTAATTATAGAGATATTGTATACATTATTCCACCTCAACGAAATACGCAATTGTCGAAATTGCTATTAAGGTTATGAAAAAGTGGGATGCGGGAAGTAAAGACTGTGTAAGAACCTCCGAGGAGGCGGAGTTATAGCCTAATAGACTGAGCTTCATCATACGGCCAGCAGTGGAGAAACACGGTTCGGTCATCACTGGCAACACGCACTATACACGTATTAAGTGTACAGTCAGGCCTGGGTCGAGAAAATCAGTGATCGTGGTTTTCTATCAAGAAGTTCTCTGTAGCAATCTGAAGTTAACAAGGTTTACCGTTTTTCCTGCGCTTGATCTCTCCGGTCGTGTAGGATTTTCGTCCCATCGGACTATGAGAGTGAGGGATTAGAGAATGTGCCTGTACCTTACGTATACACTATTGTAATGTAATTCAGTACTGCGCAGTTGCCTTGTCTCCGTTCCGAATTCCTCCGTGACCGAAATTCGATATAGATGACATTATTGGTTTATTATCTAGATTATCTAGAGTTCGGGGCTTACTACAGAGACAATGTTTAGTGAATTGACTGACACACAAAACCTACCTTTATGCATTTCGTTGTAGAGTCGCTTATCCCTTGTGCTGTGCGGCTTGTCTGCGAAGGTCGGGCTGTATGGCGGCAGTTATAGCGGCGCCCACCGCCAGTAGGATGCACAGGCCCACGTTGGACCAGCGATCGCCCACACTCTCCAGCATTCGCTCATACGTGAGCGTCAGCACTATACCGAACACCTAGAAGTAATAAAATTCTTTATTGTGAAATTATGTATTGACTCTTGTGGTAAATAAAAAAACTTTGAAGAAAACTATTTTCACGAATTTTGTCATTGTCACGGGGGAATAATGGACCTGAAACGTCGAGAATTAAACATAAGTAAAATTAAATACGATAAAATCAGTATAAAATAGTTTTATTCAATGTTTTTTATTGAATGTGTTCGCGTAAATATAAGAAATCATTTAAAAAATAACTTTCAATAAATAATATGTCGTCATCATCATTATCACTGTCCCTTTGAGAATAGGCCTCCAGGGATTACCACAGAGCACGGCCCTAAGCCACCTTCACACATCGACTTCCTGCATAACTTTACTATACTCCGTCAACTATCTTAGCATACTTAAGAAATAATTTTAAGGTGTAAGTTTTACAATTACTTTATATATTAATAGAAAAAAAGTTTCGCAATCTTATACAACTGCAGTAAAGCAATAAATAAAAAGAAAGTAGAGACATAAACACAAGTTCATTAAGAAGAGAAAAGATAAAAGATGAATGCAAATGATGGAAATAAAACCACGAATTTGATGAAAAGTATAAATTTTAGTTTATCTGAAGGACCACCAGAATACCGACAAAAAATTGCGGCTTAATGCTGCTGTATTTCGTATGATGAGTGCAGAGAACCGGAAATCCTTTTTACTGGTAACGAGGTACTCCATCTCATTCCTAAAGGGTGTGACAACGCATCTGCATTTTGATTCTTACTCAAGGATACCATCGGACTGTGTGCTCGTTTGTCACCTCTATAAAATAAAATAAATAGATAATATACGTTAAAATATTTTTTATTTCGTACCTGAACTACAGCGTTGAGAATGCCCGACGTAGTTCCCTCAGGTTCGGGGTATGTTACTTCAGAGGCGAACTCGAATCCAACGGGCAGGTAGCCGGTCATAAAGAAACTGTGAAAGAAAAGTTATTACAACTTTATATAAAGTTTTTGATAAATTTATCTTTGATAGTAATTATAATTATAGAAATAGAACTCGTTAAAACTATTAGCATCATTTCCGTTTGTCATTCATTAAAATTTTTGCATTTAATGGAAGAAAGAGTAAAGTTTGTTTAATCTGTTTTCCACATAAGAAATCGTCTTGGTATTATCAACTTTGTCGCAACTTTGACTTCAACAACGACTAAAAATAAGTCTGCCCCAGGTGGGTTTTTAAACCAGCTAGTATAGAAGTCTATTTTTTTAGCTATATGCCAGTGAAAGTCCCGTCAAAATCGGTCCAGTCATTTCGGAGATTAGACGGAACAAACAGACAGACAGACAAACAAAAAGATAAATATATAAAAAAGAAAACAAAAATAATATACAATACTTGTAAAAAAAAATATTTTTTTTGTTATATGTACCGTATATACTTTCATATGCATTCAGTAAAAAGCTGTTATTTTGACATTTCAAACACACTTATTTGTAATGCATATATACAACAATATAAAATAGATAACACTAACCCCAGGATAATGCTGCTGAGGTACACAACGCCGATGACGCCGCAGTCGAGGGTGAAGGTGAAGATCAGCATGCCGACGACGGAGGCCACGTACACCGCCAGCGTGGTCTCTTTGAAGCGGTGCGTCTTGTCCAGCACCAGGCCGCACAGCACCGAGCCCGCCATGCCCGCCACCACGATCACCAGCCCGATGCGTCCGGCGTCCTCGTTCGCGCCCTGGATGAACCAAGATTGAAAGAAAATTCCGGTATTATGTACTGTATCCTAAGCGATTTTACTATACGGGACGACATGTCCCTGGAAAGATGACGGCTGGTAAGAAGAAATGAGATTGGATACTATTGTAGATCTAAAGCGGGCTTGCATCCATTCATAGGGATATTTATAGTATAGTATTTGTAACATCTTTCTCCATATAAACTTTACGATACCAAATCTCATACTCCTCTGTTCGCGCAATATGCTTAAAAAGAGCTACAAAGTTCTCCCTTCACGAATTACTATGTAGATAAAATCAAATAATTTTCGTAATGTTTCGCTGAATGCCCACATCAAATCGTTTTCTTGGAAATGGGGTAAGGTTCGGACAACTTGAATTCTTTTTCTTCCGTAAAAGTCAATTACTAGACATATGTCCCGGCGTCGTCCCGACGACTTGCCTTGTCACGCTTGGCGGGTGGATTGCCGATCGTAGTAACAAACAACAGATGGATGTATGTATGTTACCATAGGGTTTTTGTTACATGTAACATACTTCATACTTTCATTACTTAACATACATACTTTTGTTATATGTAACAAAAATCCAATTATTCCCGTTAAGGACGTTATCAGAATCAGTATTCAAACGCATGGAAATAACTTTATTTCAGAAAACTCCACCATTAACTTCTTTAATTAAATTTAAATATTTACATTTTTGTTTGCAAATTGTATGTGGTTTTATTACCTTTTAACTGACACGCGCATCCGTAAAGCGGGGTTTTTGACAATACTCTTACCACAGAGTAAAGAGTAAGGACCAGAGGGGAAGCTTATTAACAACGTCGAAAATGTATACCTATTCTGATAGGGTTGTCACAAATGCATGTGAAAAATTTAAGGAAAAAATGGTCGTGGTGATGGAGCCACTGTTGGTCCACTGCCTACTACCACTACCTACGATACTACCACCTCCACCACTACTGACACCATCAGCTACACTATCCACCAACACCAGCACCACTTCCACCAACACCAATCCCACCACCCCCACTTTTGAAAAACGATACAAAGGTGAACCTGTCGGTGAGAGCTCACGCACACATCGCTTCCCCTCTGGTCGGTTTCTTTACTCATGTGCTCTTAATCCCCGGCTAATGCAAAGGTAATAATACCGCATACAATTTGCAAATAAAAATGTATTTAAATTATTTTTTTTTATGGTCAAGTTTTCTGAAGTTATTTCTATACATGTGAATAATGATTCTGATAACTCACATAGGGTTTTTGTTACATGCATGTGTATGTACGAGCTTGTTTGTTTTTGTCAGTTAACGAATTTTTAGTGAGAGATATGGTTAGAATAGTATTCATCTCTGGATATTGTTAAGACAATACATGGTGTGTATGTAGTTCAGATACATGGTGTATAGCAAAAGTATTATGCCTATAACACGTTCATATTAATGTAATACTATATATAGATATTTACTCTACAGGATGAGATGAAATAATGTTCAGGAACAGACACAAGTTACTCAACTCCACCGTGTTAGTAATTCATTCCTGGGGCGATGTATACGCTTTTACAATAAAATTCCAGAAAACATACAAAATTTGAACTGCTCCAAGTTCAAATGGGAACCTATGGGAATGAAGTGATCGCTACCAGTTTACTACCTATTTCTATTTTTGATTTGTTTTTTGTAATTATGTAACATACATGATTGTAAGCTGTTATTTAAAAAAAAAAAGTCCCGCTGTGTTTCTTGCTGGTTCTTCCCATGACAGAGGTTTTTTTTCGAACCAGTGGTAATTAAACATAACAGTGACTTTCAATAAGTATTATTGATAATCTACATTGAATAGAAAAGTTTATGTTTCTGTTGGTTTCTGTTCTTACGCTATTACCACAGTTTTCCAAACTGTACTTACCGGATAATACGTTAGTACGACTTGATTGAGCAGCGTTGATAAAGCGTAGAAAACACCAACGTTCAGACCGTACGATATGAGCAGCAAGATGTAGTTGCGGTTGGTGAGCAGTTTCTTGATAGACTGTAGGAAGTTCGAATCCAAACTCGAGCCTAGGTCCGCCGCCGCTGATGGTGAAGATGGTGGTGCGGCCTTGAAGACTGCAAAAGAGTATGGTGATTTTTTTTCAATTTTCGTATGGTTAACATTTAGAATATTCATGATTTAGGCAATGTTGGGCATTTTCTCATCATACGACTTTTATTTACGAAGACTACGGAGGCTCATTTAGACCGGGTCTCTTATATCGATTAACTAGAGGTTGCTGAGTAGGCCTTAATAAAACGACCATTTTATGTCTATATATTTCTCCTATTTAATCGCCTCTATAATATACCTACTCTATCTTCTGTGCCAAAAAATCTACTGAATATGTAATTGGAAATCATCTGTAATATTTAAGATTTTCAAAATAATATAGAATGCAATTTTAGTCTTTTGCAATCATCGTCAAAATCATTACAGCTCATCACATGTCCACTTACGAACAAAGACCTTACCAAGGAATGCCACAAAGAACGGTACTGAGCCACCTGCATCCATCGACTTTCTGCATATCTTACCAGGTCGTCACCCCATCTAGTGGGGGGAAGGGGAGCGGCGTACACTTCGCTTACCGGTACGAGGCTGCCACTTGAAAATTTCTTTCTTCCCCATCTGTTGTCGGTGCTTCAAATTATATGGCCGGATGTCAAAAAAGTCCAACGTTTTTGTTTCTGTGATTACTATAAATATTACTAGCGATCCGCCCCGGCTTCGCACGAGTGATTTCTGGATCTCGACAACATTGCCACCTACCGGGTCCAATTTTGAATTTAAACCATTCTCGAATTAACTTAATCACATACATACACACACAAAATTTCATCAAAATCAGTCCAGCCGTTTAGTAGGAGATCAGTCACATACGCACAGAAGAAATTATATAAAGATATGGCATATTGTTACATTATAAGCCATGTGGTGTCGGCGTTAGAAAAACTACCACCCCATTTCGTCCTGTGGGTGTCCTGATGGCGATGTGGGATATGCTAGAAAATTCGGTAAGACTTTTGTTTTGCCTAGGAGACCGCCATAGATGCCATTATCTAAGTTACTTCTGCCACCGATCAGCAGTCCATCTACTGCTGCGTTCCGTTTTGAAAGGTGATAAAGTATAATCACAGGCTGTAAGGCATTTCTTTGACTAAGTGGTAAACTCCTCTACTGTATAGGAGTATTTACTGCTACTATTTCCGTCGTCAAGCAGTAGTGCCTGCACAGCTCTGTTCCCGCCTGAAGGATTTAGAAACGGCTCCGTGGCGCAGTGGCTTAGCAATGAGTTAAAGCGCTGGGGGCCGCGGGTTCGAATCCCGCACGGAACAAGTATTTGTATGGCCTACAAATTGTGCCGGGTCTGGTTGTTTGTCCTTGTGCAATTTGTGTTTGTAAGCTGCCTGAACGATACAGGAGAAAATCCTAGTGTAGGGGGGGGGGAGGGGTAACGTAAAAAAAAAGCCAGTATAATTACAGGTTGTAAGGCATTCAGTTTTAGTCCTCAAAGGTGACAACGCATCTGTAGATTTCTTATTTGATGTTGACTTCAGGTGTCCATGGACTGTAGTAGCCACTTACCATCAGGTGAAATTTTAAGTTCGTTAGTCGCTTCAGTTAAAAAAAATTATCATTCCCTCAGAAGAGAACGCACCTGTCTCTTAAAGTTGGTAGAAATTACCTCGCTTAAATTTTAGCGGTTAGCCACAGCAGAGTCATCACCTGAGGATGCCTCGTGTAGAGGCGAAACACGTGTCGTATTGTCGTCGGTGGTATGTCTTTCCTAGTGTAGTGGAGTTGGGAGTAGTGGTGACGGGGACAATGCACGCAATTGAGGAAGGGCGGGAGGTGCTTTTCAGACTATGTAAGACACATCATTTTATTTTATCGAGCGCATGTACACGAGGTACTTTTTACCAACTTTAATATAATGGATTTCCGCAAAGAAACGCCTGATTCTATCAATTATCTAAGCACCTGACTCTGTCTCCCCCGCAGTCTTCTTTTGTAATATTGATTGCAGGTATCCATGGCCTGCAGAAGCCACTTACTATCAGGTTGACTGGTAGCTCGTTTGTTGCCCGAATTATAAAAAAATGCAAACATTACTTACACAGTAGTATAAACACGAAGAGAACGCTAGTGAATCCAGCGACCAGGTAGAACATGAGACGAAAGTCTGCCGCTATCTCATCCACCGTTCCCTGGGCACGCACCAGCATTGGTGGCAGGAGGAAGCCCAAGGCTACACCCAACTGTAAACAAGCCCAATGGTTAAAACATGCATAGCGTCAAGCCTGTACCTAATCTTGACGACGGTGATCTTTATTATATTTTATTAGGACTCTGAATGCACAGTCACAAGATGACCTTGTTTACCGATAGTTTTTGGTTTCAGTTGTCGTAGGTACATCGTAAAAGTTGCTTACAACGTTTATTATCGTTTTAGCCTATAAGTTGCACCAGGTCCCTAACTACCTACACACAAAATTTCATGGAAATCTGTTCTGTAGATTTGGCGTGAATCGTAACACAGACAGACAGACAAAAAAAATTATAAAAACCACTAATTTGGCTTCAGTACCCTTTATTTAGTCCCCTGGACATGTTTCTTCCAGAAAATATTAGAATTACAGACACAAATTTTCTACAGATTTATTATATGTATAGATGATGCCATTGTTTTTTTTTTATATAGGATAAGAGTGACAAACGAGCACACAGTCCGCCTGATGGTAAGTAGATGCTGTGGCCCATAGACATCTACATTTAGCCTCGATTAAGAATCAAAATACAGATGCGTTGTCACCCCTGAGGACTAAGATAGAAAGCTTTGTTTCCATTAAAAAGGGTCTCCGGTTCTCTACACTCACCATACGAAACACAGCAGCATTAAGGTGCTATTTTACGCTGTGTAGTATTCTGTGAGAGCGTGGTCCCACTCCGGTAAAGTACACGCCATTTGTGCTACAACGATAAAATGGCTGCAGCATGGCTCTACCACGTAAAAATTTCTATAATATTTCTGACATTTTCGAGATTTTAGATAGAAATCTTTTAAAACACCCGGGATGCCACATTGCCTCTTCTCCCAACACGTCTGATTAATGAATTATAGGGCAAAATTAACTAGCTACAATTTTTTTAAATTCATAATTTAACTAAACGATGCTGCAGGCATGAAATAATTACTTGTCGGTTATCTTTTTAAGTAGTTCTACACGTAATTACTTTATTTTATCCTTATATGGATTACTTTTTTAAATTTATATTCTTTATTATGGTAGTACTGCTGTTATAGATTGTAGGAAAAGATTCATTACTGCTTGTATTATTATTAACACACACTGTCCCTAAAGAACCTGGTTTTTAGTCCTAATACTCGCTTTGATGATTTAATAAGGAGTCTAAACGTTCCTCGTAACATTTTGTGATGACAAAATGGGGTGAATCATGTTCAAGTCACATATATAGAACTGAGGGAAGATGGGTTTCTTCCGTGCTTATCTATTGACATGCGAATTTTCTGTGCAATTTAAAAATAAATTGTAAAGAAAAAATATACATTACGAATACATTGTTATAATATAACCGCGACGAGAAAATTGCTGCAAATCAAAAGGAACGTCATTCGTCAAGACTACTGTAATGCAAAATTCACTGAGACAAATCAGGTAGACGGAATAATTGTTTTCGCGTTGAAGATTTCCAATAAGGCATCTTTTAAGCCATGCTATCTTTAAAGTCCCCTTTCAGGTCGATATAATATGCATTTTATTTTATTACACCAAGGTTTTTGCAATACCTACCTACCTGCAATACCATTTATTTACATAACCTAATATACAATTTTTTTATCATATACAATATTAAAAACTATAATAAAAAAAACTAAAACTGGTAACTTAGTTATCATACAGTCCTACTCCCTGTGGTATCGTGCCAAGAACGCTGACTGCGTTTCCCCGCTGAATGGCTACACTTATCCTTTGAGCGAGAAAAGAACCAGCCATCTTATCACCTGCAGCAACGACCGGATGGATGGAGTTCCTTTAGGAACTTCACCGCACGTGAACCCCACGGATTTGGTCATGATCTCACCAAATATATACTTATTACTTTGGTATTTGTGAGTTATCCTTAATAATACGTATTTAATTCACTTAGACTACATCAATGATGTTCTCATTTTATTTATATTGAAGTCGGTTGTACATAATTTTTAATTTTACTACTCGAAGATATAGTCCTCGGAATTGGCAACGCACCTGTAACCTTGATTGAAGTTTTTTTGTAGGTTTCCATGGCCTGTAGTAGCCTGTTACCTCGTTTGTCACGTAACACTAAACAAAGAAACTAACCCCGATAGGATACATGTAATGTACGTGTAATGTTACAGAAATCTATAAATAGCAAATTAATTAACACAAAACACTAATATCAACAGATATTTATCTATATGCCTCGTCGCTTGCGTCTTTACCAGCCCCCAAATTTGGTTGTTGTAACTGTTTCAAGATTGTTTTGTTTGTCAAGATGATCGGTTTTGATAGGTTATGTAATCTTTTAGTTCAAATGACATCTAAACACTTGTATAAACTAACGGTATTTTGTCCAACGACAGCGGCAATTGCTGCTGACTCGTTAGAGGATACGATTTAGAAATATATTTTTTTTTAGTATTCTGAGCCAGCGTTTACGTAAACCTATCTCAGCGTGATGTGATAATATGATATCCAGGGACGTCACAGACACTATAGTTGCCTTAAAATAATAAAACGAATATGTACTTTTATTTGATGACAAATATAATAATTATGGTTAGCTTTACGCACAATATCTGTACAAGAAAACAACGTGTTTTAATTGTTATAGAAGAAAGGCACTTTGGGATTGTAGTCGTGGCACGCTACAGTTATATTATCATGGGTGCACGAATGGGTCAGCTCGATCGGGGAAGGAGGACGCTCTCATAGAATAACAGCGTAAAATAGCAGCTTCGTTGAAGATAGATGTAGGTGTCTGGGCCACAAGTAACCACTTACCATCAGGTGAAGTGTGTGTTCGTTTGTCACCCTTATTGTATAAAAAAACCCTGTCCATGGTGTCGCGGCAAGTGCCCAGGCGACATAAAACTAAACCGGTGATATAGAACAAGTTATTCGATTTTCACTCTTCTTAAATCGTGTACTTAGAAGATTGGAATAACGTACTTGAACAGAAAAAAACGAAGAAAAGCAATCTAAAGAAGAACAAGAAATGATCAATGAATAGATCATGTTGTTCTTTTTAAGTTCAACATTGAACGATGCCAATGTAAGTCACGTTTATCGAAAAGGGGCAATGGCGATGTACGATCAACAAAGAATTTAGATTGTTCATTTTGTTTTCATACGGTATGTGATACATTGAAAATTCAAGCGTGTTATACGCGATCTAACAGCTTACCGGTGATGGTGCACTACATTGGTTAATAACTGGAAACCTAGACGCAACGTATAATTGTTGTCATATGCGCTTTTAGTTTGTTAATAATAGAAGTTTGTAAAAGTATTTCAGATATATAAGCATGTTAATTATCACGTGACAACCATTTTAACTTTGAAACACATTGTGAATTACTAAATTCATAATTATCGAAACCTAATTAGTTAAAGACTCGTGTAGCGGCGGTGTAAGAATATCCACTACCCCGTATCCATCATCCCGTGGGTGTCGTAAGAGACCAGCAGCATCTTCCTACTTTGATAAAATCACCCCTACGAGGCAGTCTATGCTTATGTTTACCAGTGGTCTTTTATAGACTGTAATGGATGGATGAAATTAGTTTGAGAGTAGAGTTCTAGTTGCATTGAATCGTACATACATACATACATAAACACTCACGCCTGTCACCCAGAGGGGTAGGCAGAGACTACGTCTGTAGTCTGGAATAAGTGAAATAGAAATTCCGGAAGAAGTGGAGAGAGGTAGGGAGATAAGTGTAGATGAAATAATGAAAGCAATGAAAAGCATGAAAGCAGGTAAGGCAGCCGGATATGATAGAATATCACTCGAAATGCTAAGGGCTGGTGAGGGTGTGATTACAGGCCTGCTGCACACCTTGTTTAATTTATGTTGGGAACTGAAACGGGTACCGGAAGACTGGTGCAAAGCCGTTATAGTCCCAATATATAAGGGAAAGGGGTCGCAGCAGGACTGTAAAAACTACCGTGGTATCAGCTTGCTTAGCATTGTGGGTAAACTGTATGCTAAGGTGTTAATTGAAAGAGTTATGGAAGAAACTGATGGAAAAATTTGGGATGTGCAAGCTGGATTTAGAAAGGGGATGGGGTGTACGGATCAAGTCTTTTCCATGCGCATGATAGCGGAGAAGTTTTTGGCTAAAAACCAGAAAGTTTTTTGTGCGTTTATGGACTTGGAAAAGGCTTATGACAGAGTGGACAGGAATGTGTTATGGTAAACACTGAACTCATTTGGGTTGAGCGCTGGCTTGATACAGGCATTAAGATCTCTTTATAGGGACTCTAGTGCTTGTGTCAGGATCAACGGGGTCTACTCGGACTGGTTTGGCATTCATAAAGGTGTCAGACAGGGATGTGTGGCTTCCCCGTGGCTGTTTAACTTATTTATGGACAGTTGTTTGCAAACTTTGAAAGTTGAAGAATGTGGGTTGAGAATGGGTGAGTCAACCGTCAAATGCCTTTTGTACGCCGATGATCAAGTCATATTTGCATCGTCAGCGGCCGAGTTGCAAATGATGGTTACTTTAATGAATTGGTCATTGAAAGAAAGAGGTATGAAAGTGAACGCAAGTAAGACGAAAGTGATGGTTTTTGAAAGAGAAGAAAGTAAAACTTTATGTGAAATAAGAATAGAAGGGGAGTTGATAGAGCAAGTGGATGAGTTTGTATATTTGGGATGTTTATTTAGCAGGGATGGTAGATATGATAAGGATATAGAACGACGAGTGAACGCAGGAAATAGAGTGAATGGGGCTCTACACGCTATTATGAGGAGTCAGAATGTGTCAACTAAGGCACGTATGGCAATTCATAATGCTGTGTTAGTCCCTACTTTAATGTATGGTAGTGAAAGTTGGGTCTGGCAGAAGAAGCATGAGAGTAGAATAAATGCTGTAGAAATGCGTTCCTTAAGGAGTATGCTAGGGCTGAATCTGAATGACAGGGTGAGAAATAGTGTGATAAGAGAAAAGTGTGGTTTGCAAGATGACGTTGTGACAAGGATTAAGAAA